TCAGTACTCAAAGATGACACCAGAATTTGTAATGTCCTTTGAGTTTAATATTGGGTCTGCTTCATTCCTAACCTACCCCTAGAATCCTAATTATTAAGGGTTTCACAGCAAGATAAGCCTAAAATTTTAGCTAGCAATGGTTTATCTCCCATCTTTACAACCAGAGTATGATATTCCCCGGAGATTATGACTATATTGAGGAAAGTTATATTGCAATTCAGTAAATGCATAAGATCCTATGGAAAAATATCTTCACTACTTGACTTCTTGATATTTCAAACTTCCACAATCTAGAAAAAGGTATGTCCTTTATTCCATCCCAAGACCAACGATACCCTGCAAGATTGTTAACAGTTTGTGTCACCTATGAATTAATGAGAAAGCTGGGGAAAACAAAAAGACCTTATTTGGTCCTCACTGTACTGTCCTACACTTTCATATGTAGTATCATTATCTTGATAAGCCGCCTCCCTAAAAACATAAATTAACATTAAAACTATGTATATTCTGATATAGAAATGCGGTTATATTTCCTTTGTTACCCTCACTTGAGGAGCACTGGTAGCTGCATTATAATTCCATTGGCAGCTGTATTCCAATGTCGTCTTGCCACTCTCAGACACCAGTGTTTCTTAAATGACATCGTCAAAAGTTAAGCCTAGCACAGAACATTTGAGAGTGTTCATCTAAATCAATTCTTCATTGCTTCACCATCCTTAAGCTCTCCAATGTCTAGATTTCACCGAGTTTACCAAAGTTGTATCCTTTTTTCTTCATCGAGAATCATCCATTCCTATCTATCTCATATCTTTTACCCACCTCCTCATACCTACTGCTTTTCATTTTCCTGCTGACTGTTCCCATTTTAACACTCCGATAATCGAAGTGCTACTGCATGGTTCCTGCTTTGTGTCCATGTATACAGAAAGGCATTTTTCTATACTTGTACTGTCCTTATCAATAAATCTCCTGTGGAGTTGGTTTATGCGTGTATGTTTTTGAAAACACAATACTTAAGCCTGCATTCTAAACGTCCCAATTCAAACAGTCTTCAGTGAAGCTGTAAATGAGACTTAGTAGGAAAAAAATTTGACCAGGTGATTACTGATAATCAGCTATGGTCAGGAACCACTCACTGGAACATCTACTTATTTTGCTTTAATGGCTTCATTTTCAACTTATCATCATCATCATTTTGTGTAGCACCAAAAAAATCCTTTGATTTTAATTTGTCAACAAACTGTAGACACTTAACGATTTTCTTTCATGAATATGAGCTGACTTACTTAAAATGACATTATAGTAAGTCTGGTGATAAAGGCCTATAATCCCAGTTGCTTGAGAGACTGAGGTAGGAGAACTGTAAATGAGGGTTTTCTTCTTCTACAAAGTGAGGCCAAAGACAGTCTGAGAATAGTAGTGATATTCTTGTTACCAAACAAAAGGTAAAAATTGAGGGTTAGGAATATAATTTATTTCTATAGTAGTGTCCTAGGCTAGAGGGTGCAAGACTCTCAGCTCTATCACAGTAATAAAAAGATAAATTCTAGCAAATAATTTGTATAGCCTTTCAATGTAAAGGTACACATAATATACTTTATGCTGAATCATGTACAACTATTTTATTTGACTCTGGCTAATTCTAGAGTGGAATACAAAATTGCACATATCAAACTTTGGGGAACTTTTAAAGGGCCTTTATTTCTCTTTCTTGCTGGTCTCAGAAAATACTTTAACAGGTACAAATATTGTGGGTTCCTTCTTGATAAACTCATTTAAAATCCCAGTTGGAGACGTGTTCTGGAGAGCTTTGATACAGGTGAGGATCCATGCGTGCAAATTGTGTTCATGAGAAAACAACTAAAGTGAAAATGAGTGTGACTCTCTAAAGGACCTGGTATTGTTAGCCAAATAGTCAGTGCACTGATAGCAATTGTGGGAAGTTTTCCATTTTCTTCAGTCTTAAATTATTGTAAGATTTAAATGGAAGAGAAAAAGCCAAGGGAATACAAAGAAAGAAATCAAGGGGTAGGGGTAGAATTTCAACAGATGATTCTGAAAGCACAAAGACTGAGAACTAGTGTAGTTATAGAGCTGCAATCCTGATGAGAATGATTCTGACAAACATGATAACCACACTGATGCCTGTATGGATGGACCTAACCTTTCACTACAGCAATGCAAAAGGAAGGTTATTCCACACCTTCAGAGGAAGTGCTATCTGGAGATTTTTTTGAATGTGCTTAGCTACATGAATACAAAGTTATTTTTTACATGTACAAAATGTGCTAATTCATAAACATCACCCCAACACAGGGAACAACTGACATCAGTGTTCTCCATTTTCAGCTTCTCTTTAATTCATTGGAAAATACAGTTCCTGAGTAGGTAGCTCACTGATTTCCTAAAAGGAAAGGAAAAATAGGTAGGGAATAGCAATAATGCTTGTGAAAACTAGGAGACCTCTTGTAGACAGACTCCCGCTTCAGAACTACTCAGGAGAGACTGTTGCTTGTCACTTTCCCTCAGCCCACTAATTAGAGAAGAACTTCTTTACAAGTTAGTCATGAGTATTGGTGAAACCCTGGATATGTGCTTGATATTTCTTGAATTATCTTTTCTAGTCACTCCTTTGACCTTAAACTTTCCATGGGGAAAAATAGTAATATAACAGCCAAATGTAAAGAGAAATCTAAGAAGGAAACATAGCAACAAAAGGCAACTGCAGATTCCAAGATGGAACAATGAGGAAAGATTCTTGTTGCACATTCTGATGATCTGAGTTCAATCCAAAGGATCCATGTAGTAGAAGGAGGGAATCTACTCCAGTGAGTTGTTCTCTAACCTCCACATACCTGCCTTGATACATAATTCCTTATCCCCCACATATAAAAATACATACATGCATACATACATACATACAATCTTGTATATCTTGATACCAAGTCAATAAAGATTGCTATGAGAGCTGTCATGGGAGGCTTAATCCTCCCTGAAGAATGGACAGGGTTAGGATGGGGAGATGGGGAGGAGGAGATGGGAGGAAAAGAGGTAGAGAGTACTGGTTTTGGTATGAAAAATAAGTTTGTTTTCATTTAAATAAAAACTTTTTTAAAAGAATGAAAATAAAGTATATGGCTCATGGATGGTAGCTCCCTACTGATGAATAACAATACATAATATTATTCATAATAACATAATATTGAGAAGTGAAGCTGGAGTTGAAATTGAAGCTTCTTTACTAGCTAGCCTTCATATTGGCATAAGGTGCTATGAAACTACTAAGGGAGAAGAATCATCAACAGTATTACCAAACTCTCAATACTGGGACTTCAAAAACAACCTTCTAGGAAACATGTGCCCTTTAGTCCAATGGTGGAATGTTGGTTGTGGGTGTAACCACTTTCTTTATGGTTGTATTTGAGACCCGCTCTTTGGGAGAAAACTCAAAACCGGCCTTTACTATATAGAAGCTACTTATTGCACTGTGGTTACTGCAGAAATGCATAATTTCCCAAAGTACCAAGAATAAGTGGTGATAGATTTTTTTATCCCTAAATAGTATAACTATTTACTACATCAGTTCCTCCAAGGCTTTGGAAACATCATTGAAAAGGAGGGGAAAAATCATATAAGAATAAGAGCATAAAGAGATTTCAAGGGAAAAAAGTATGTCATCCTGGCACCATGCGACCACTCCACCAAGGAACTCAATGCATCTGGGATTTTCAACACAAGACATGCACCAGATTGAGGCTGTCACCATCCATCATCAGTGGAGGAATGTCCTTGAGGTCTCATCTTTCTCTAGGGGACAATTGACAGTTCTTGAAGTGTGAGTGTTGTATTCTTTAGCAATGCAGCCCTTGATAAACTGTCTTTGCACCAATAAAAGACACACATGTAATTGCACCAACATTAATTATACTCAGTGGGTCAGCAGAAAAATGAAGAAATAAAAGTAAGAAGTGCACTGATTGAGAGGAATATCTCTAGAAAGGGAAATGGGGAGACTAAAAAATCTAAAATTAGTTACATAAATATATGAAACTGTGAAACGTTAGAAAACTTAAAGACCAGAAAGAAGAAAAAAAATAAAAAAGAACACAACTTTGGAATAGAAAGAGAGCAAATGAGTCTGAGGACAATTACTTGTAGTGCTGATACAACGTGTGCAAATCAAGTGTGGCATTACAATAACACAATGCCACTGGTGCATGTCTTCTTCTAAAACATTGCACCAGCAACTTCTGATAATTATCAAGGACATTATCATTTCCAGATTGATGTGTGGGTTGAAGTGCATTGCTGAGCACCTGCCAAAGCAGGCATTAGAGGAATCTCATTCTGCCAAAACTTTCTTCCTATACTTCACTCACATCTGAGGACCAACTGTTTTGGCACCTATCCTAACAGTCAAGTGCATTTAATTCCCGGAAACACTTCATGTATGACATGTAGACACAAACTGGGGATGCTAATATAGAAAATCCAGTGTATATATTAGCTGGACTTATATAAAAGGTAAGGTTTCTGGGCTCAGCAGACATGGCTAAATGGCAGCACAGACGGATGAGCACTTATGGATTGGGGGCATCTTGTGTACAATCCAAATTCTCTACCAAGTGGTGAAAAACAAGATAAGGTAAAGTACCTTTGGTGAGTTGCTTCATTGTATAGCACCAAATAAACTTTTGCTAATCATCAATTTAATTAAAATTTCAAAATAATTTTCACATGTGTGTAGGAGGAAGTCTGATGCCGCCATTAAACATGTGACTTATTAGAGGCGCATACAGATGAGGTAATAAAAGGGCGGTTTACCACACCGCTAACCACACCCACTTTAGGCAGGACTAAAGACGTATACGTACGTAAGCGGAACTACGTCACTAGCCAGGTCCACTTTTGGGCATGGCTAGGGGCGTTACAGGGGAAGGCATAAAAGACAGCACACAGGAAGTCTTGGTCTCTTTTCCTGGAGTTCGGCTTCCGGTCCGGCAGCTAGCTGAAAACTGCTCCTCTGGGTTTGGTATCTTGTGAGTAAATTTCTACATTAAATACTTAGCTTTACTGTCAGTAATTTTGTGTCGCGTATCGTTACAGCGTCCGGTAAAGCCTACACATGTGATTAGCAGAATCCCAAGGTAGCAAAACTTTAAATGAAATAGTCCAAGTGGGATGGTGGGGTTACTAGAAGAAGACACAAAAACTACAGAAATGAAACTAAATAAATATTCTGAAAATTGACAGATTAAATTATTTTGAAAGAGGTTCATATGTAACTAGTAACTGCTAATATGCACACAGGTATTTTGGCATATATGAATCATTGGTTAATTGACAGTGGCATTATCAGGAAGTAAATATTTCTATGTATATTTGCACACATTTGTTTAGTCACAGGCAGACAGACATAGAAATAGAAATAAAGATTTACAATATTATCCAGTCATGAATAACCAACCAGAAACTCAAATGGTAATACTAAATGGAGAGTTAAGATGGACATTTATCAAAAGGATTTTTGAGAAGCTTGTTTTAAAAACATATGTACAAGGTATTAATATACCTACATAGAATCATCTCGTTATTCTCAGTTCACAATTCTTAAATCACACTATCATATTTTAGCAGTTGTGATGAACTGGATATTAAGCCAGCTTATATGTCCTTTCTATTCTGCCTTTCTGGAAGGCCATAAATTAGATAGCATTAAAACTAGAATTTTTTTGATGAACAAATTCTCTCCATAACTCATATAACATGGTAGTAAGTTGAAAGAACTGTGAGTTGTGTTAAAATCAGGTCTGAAATTATTTTATGCATTCTGGCTTTATATTTGTAACTGAATTAATTGTAAAATTGTAGTTAAAAGAATAATGCAAAATACAATGACAAAATGAACTGTTTTCATATAAAAATATGGAATCATCAGCTGTCTCCAACTTGCAGAAAAAAAATCTAACTCAACAAAATGTGATGGGGAAGTAGAGAAAAGAAGGATAGATGGGGTTAAGGAGGAGGGAAAAGAGTAAGGAGGGAGAAATGTAGGGAAAACAGAGAGGAAAGGAAACCCATGGCCTCTCCTTTCAAGGGAGATACTAGTTTGTCCTCAGTACCCTTTATTATTTGACCAGAAATGAGTAAAGGGGTTCCTGTGGATCCAAATGACTATAAAACTATCTGAGATAAAACTTTAGGAAAAACTATTGAATTTCTTTCAACCAAGTGTCTCTGTATCCTTAGTATACAGCACTTAAGAAGAAGGTCTGACTCATAGTTATTTGATATAGAAGGAAAGAGGATAGAAATAAATTTCATGTATTCTCAGCTTCAAGGATTGCCCAAAGTGTTCATTTATCTATTGCCTAAGTCTAAACACTGAGAAGAAAGCACATCAGATTAGGAGACCCAGTGTCATAGGCAGCAGTATGGTCCAGTAATTCCTCACCAATTCCTTCTGTCAGCTCAGTATTCAGTAAAAGAGAAACTCCTCAAGACCAGTTTCTTTTAGGCAGAGGAAAAGGTTGGTAACTATGTTCCATATTCTGGTTGCTTGGGAGATGGCAAGTGACCTAGTTTTTCTACTTCCTGTTTAGAGGGTCAAGTTTATTCTGATTATCAGCAGATTGGTGATATAACACAAACATCTGGATGACTTTCTCCTTTTCCAGAAAACCTGTGGTACTAAACGCAGAGACCACCTGCAGTTTGCCAGCCTCTTCCACAATCAAGAAAGATTAGTAAAGTGTATGTCTCACATCCCACATTTTCAGGAGGACATGAAATGCTGAGGTGAGTGATTTCTTCCTCTTAGCTTCAGGAACTGTTATGATGTTGGAAGTATTCTTGAATACTTCCAGTGAGAGCACCGTTAAATTATGCGACTTTTTAACTTCTAAATAATCTGCAATAAAGACATCAGGCATACATGAGAATGGGAAGCAGAATGCCAGATTCTGAAGGAAGAATCAGAAAATAATCTCCCAGAAATTTTATACACAGAAGTTTAAAGAATATTCCTATGCAGAAAATGTGTAAAACAGAAGGGGGAAATTTATTCCTGGGATAAACATTATGAAAATTAATCCATGGATTGTGACACATATAGACAATGAAAGACAGAAAATTGCATGGCAATATTACTAGAGACAAAATTCAAAACCTTTTCATATTAAAAAATCAAAACATTAGAGATTGATGAAAATTACCTTGAAATAAAACAACAGTTTCTTGTTATAAAAACATCAGAGTACATTTATACAAAATAAGAAGCCCATGATGTTCCTGGGTACTAGTTGGTATAATCTTGTGGAATAACTACCATACAATTAATCCACAATTCATCAACATATTGTTTTGGAGTGCCCAACTGTGTATGAAAAGTCTGTATTTAATAACATGAAGTAAAACAATAAAAGTTCCTTTCTAAGAAAAATAAAACATGGATGTCCACTTGCATCATCTATCATTTATATAAACACTATCCTAGATGAATCAGCTGTAACAATGAGGATGGAAAAGTAAGTCCATGCAAATCAGAAATGAAATGGTGATTATAAACTTGTTATTAGACAACATGATTGTATATGTAGGATTTTAAGGATTCCACAAAGTAGTTATTAAAATTAATAAATCAATTCTTAAATTGTTAGTATACATAATCAATATTCAAAACCCCGATTTTATGAACACTAAAAACTATGTGAAAAAAACTTTAAAAATCACAATAGTGATAACAGCAAAAACAAAAAACTAAAATAAGTAGAAATAACTGGATCAAGGTAGTTGCCTTAGTTGAGAAGAAACACCATGACTAAAACAAATAACAGTAAACATTGGTTAGGAGATGCTTAGAGTTTCAGAGGATAAAATCGTGACTATTATAATGGAAAACACGGCACCAAACAAACATGCATGGCACTGAAGCAGTAGACTGATGCTCAAGAATGAGGTAAAGACAGCAAGACTGTTCCTGGCATAGCCTTTTGAAAACTTAAAGCATGTCTCCAGTAGCACAACTCCTCCAATAAGGCCACATCTCCTAATTCTTTCCAACCATTTCCACCAACTTGTGACCCAACATTCAAACAGATTATGGAGACCAGTTTCATTAAAACAACTACACTAGTCAAGATTTTAACTCTGAAAAGATGAAACAGCATTAAGAGAAGCTAAAGGAGTCTTTTCTATTTGTTTATAGACTGGAATATCCACTATTGAGCAAATGTTCATGGTACTTAAAGACACTATAGTCACTGTAATACTTACCCAAATATCAAAGGTATTATTTGGCAAATATTTAAAACTTCTCTAATTTTTTATCAAAATACAAAAGGTGCATGATTATAGAAACAAAATTCAGAAAGGAGATAAAATTGGGAGGCTCAAGTTTCTGACTTTAAACTGTGTTACAAAATTAGAGTGATAATGGAATATGAAACTGACATAAAGGAAAACAGTTAATTAATTTTAAGTCTGAGAACTAAATCTATACAATGGGGAAAGGATAGCCTCTAAAACAAATTGTTTTAGGGAATCTGAATGTACACATAAGAAAGGTTCTTAAAACATATGAATATCTTAACATTTCTTCATGCACAACTAAAACATAAGATGTGAAAATAAAAACTTTAGAAGAAAACAAAAGGGAACATTTCATAATATTAATTCTGGCAAGGATATTTTAGATACAACAGCAGAAACATGGGCAATAAAATCAAAAATAAGAAAAATAGAGATGTTTGAATCTAAAGTGCTACTGCACAGTAATGTAAACAGCCAACACAGTATAAAGGCAAGCTACAGAATGAGAGAAAGTATTTGCAAATATACATTTGATAAATTGTTACTATACAAAATACTTAAGAAACTCATACAAATGTATAACAAGAAAATGAACAATCCAATATAATGATCATCATTGCTAAGAATGCAAATTGACATATCTCAAAATAAGCACACATACAGCTAAAAGTGAATGAAATATGGTGACCAGCATGAATCATTAAAGACTTGCCAAACCACAAGATGTCACTTCATCTGGTTCAGAATGGCTATTATTTTTCAAAATAACAAAACTCACAGAAAATAAAACTTGTTATTGAGAATACAGAGAAATTACCCCTTTTGCAATTTTTAGAAATGTAAAATAGTGTGGCTACTATAAAAATTATGGCAGAGGTTCACCAAAAATAAATAAATAAAATGGGATCTCTATGTGGCTATACTGAGTTTTATTTTTAAATATTTTCAAAGTATTTAATTTTTGGTTCCAAAGAGATGTTCACATCAGTCAATGGTTCAAATGAGAATGAGAATGGTCCGCATTGGCTCATATGCTTGAGTATCTGAAGCCCATTTGGTGGAATTGTTTGGGAAGAATTAGATAGGGCTTTGTTGGAGGCAGCTGTGTCACTGGGGGTAGGTTCTTGCCTTTCTCTCATGTGCTTGCTCTTCCTCGTGCTTTGTGGATGAAGATGTGAGCTCTCTGTGTTCCCACTGACATACCTTGGCTCTACCATCAAAAAAGAAAGGAGGGAGGGGGTTGTGCTCTCTAGGGTGTCGAAGACAGGTCAGGTAGCATGAAGAAGAATGTGATTGGTCCCCAGTTTTCCAAGGTCTCTGTAAGCTGGATTTACTGTATTCTGTATTCATGAGTGTATTTTTCTCTTTTTCATATCTTAATAAATCCTTATTACCCCTTAAATAGATGCACACAGATATCTCACCACAGATAAACAATTGGAGATTTTCTATTGTTAGAAAGCTGAATAGTGGTTATCTAATGCTAATGATACATGTATTATCTGATACTCAAATGCTTCTTAACATATGTTATAATAATCCCAACCTGAAAAACTGAAAAAAAGACGCTTGGTCTAGCAATATACTCCTATAACCCTAGCATTTGGGGGTTTTAGGCAGTAGGATAATGAATTTGGGAACAAGCTAATATATATATATATATATGTGTGTGTGTGTGTGTGTGTGTGTGTGTGTGTGTGTGCGTGTGTGTATGTATGTGTGTGTGAGTGTGTGAGTGTGTGTGTGGTGTGTGTGTGTGTGTGTATAGTGAATTGTAGTTTTGGGCTAAATAGTAAGACCCTGTGTCAATCAAAACAGAAATAAACTAAAAACAAGAACCAAAAACTTCCTCTGTAGTCTAAATCTGCTATCTTTACTTTTCATACATATAAACATGTAAACATTCCTGCCTCTTTCTCTTGAGTGTGTGTGTGTGTGTGTGTGTGTGTTCATGCATTGTGTGTGTCTGCCTATCTTTATCTGTCTCCATCAGGCAACCTACTATACTGCCACAAGGCCATAGTTTGCTTTGGTGTGGAATATTACAAGAGGTACAGCAGAGTGTTCTGCCACAAATACAAGCCTATAATTGCACAAGCTTTAAGAATGCTTTTGGCTTCTCCAGGAACAAGCTAATCTGTATATCTAGGAAGACTATTCTACATTGTTCAGAAATTTACAAATAGCTGTTCATCATTTACGAAATTATCATGTGAGTGATGTTCTCCTTATTCAAGCTTTTTTAGACAGCAATGATATCAAAGGGAACTGCATTTGTGGTTTTCTTAATCCCAGCAACTTTTAAGGAGGTAGAGACATCTGGGGGTTCTATTATGCCTTCTACTGGGGAAAGAGTTGGTCATTAGCATATCAATGCATTTTTTAAATTACTTTCCTTTTATTGCAGTTAAGTGGTAATGCTCATTTCTAATTGCCAATAGTCTGTGTATGAGGTTGATAACATTAATGATGTTTCATTTCAAGTCAGCAAAGGACAGTTTTGCAAACACTTTTATGAAGGCAATATTAATGCTGAACACTCCAGAGGTCTAATCTGCACTACTCCATGGCTGTGCTAAAAACAGACACATGTTCAAACGGACTCAAATAACCTAGTCAAATAACTAGCCACCTTACCATAATGTCTGGCCTGTAAGTTGTTCCCTCTTACTCTAAAGGAAACTGAGCTGCATCCCTGTGTCCAGCTCCCTATCTCAAATCCTAATTGTTACAATTGCAGTCTTTCTTAATATGCCAAAGTTTTTCCATGGAGAGCCTCTCTGTTTTCTGTTCTTTGTATACTGTGTCTGTCCTGTCCATACAGTATCAGAAAGGAGGAATTCCTTAAATCATGTTGCTATCTGCCTACCATATCCTTGATTCTTTTTTTGTTTAAACTCTACTCTTTTTTATTTTTTTGATGGATTAGAGAAATGGTCTTTTGTAATTAGAAAGTACATGACTTGGTAGATAAATAAACACTTGTTAATATTTGACCACATATCTTTTACAGTCAAGAGGCTCCATATTTGAATAATAAATATTAGAACCACTTCTTATTTTCAGAAATCTAGTTAATTGTATACCTGAACTTCCCGAGGAATCCAGATGCTCTTATAATGTTTCTTGCTCTCTGCTTGATGTGTAAAGAGGTCCAGCCTTTAAGTTCTCATCACAGTTTTATTTCCTTCTTGCTTGACCATTGACCAAATCATTAAGAAATTCTAAAAGTTGACTTGGTTGCTAGGAAGTTCTCATCACTTGCATTGGGTGGAAGAATGACTGTTAAAATCTTTAGGATATGATTATAGATGAAAATATGCTCTTTCCATGGCATTTATCTAACTTGAAATGAGTTGATACAGAATCAAACATGATGGGGGGCTGCATTAGTGGAGGAGAATTTGCACAGACATCACCAGGGACCAAGAACATTTGAGTATGGGGGCAGAGGTTGGAACAATGTAGCTTCTAGCCAAGCAGTTCCT